GGATGGCCCAAACGGCCATGCCAAAGCACAAAAGTATTTGAATCCGTAAACTTTTGGTTTACGATAGAATGTGCTTCAGCTGTACTAATTTTTGAATAGTATAAACCAGAAGATAAAGTTGGTAACTTTTCTACAATGCATTTCTGGCCAGAAATATTCTTTGTAATACAAAGATATTCCATGTTCATTTCATCTATTGTCTCAACATGATACCCATTTTAGTGGATATCTATAAAACTCAACAAGTTTCTTCGGGACTTGGAGGAGAATAATGCATTGTCTATAATAAGTTTTGTTCCTTTAGATAGAAATATAATGGCTCTTCCGGAGCCTTCAATCAAACTTATATTACCACAAATTGTTGAAAGATTTGCTTTTTTACTTATGCAAATAAGAAAAGTATTTCTGATATTTGAATATGACATGAGTTCTTCCACTATCAATAACACAAATATCTTCATGATTTGTCTTTGATCCAAACATAATTTGAGGATTATCCATATTCTTCAAAATGACATAAATAAAATATATTATAGTAAACATCATTATCAAAACATAACTTTTATTTATGTACAACAATTACATAACTATACTATCTATTACAAACAACAAAAATTAAAATATTTACATTTCTACAAATTCACTACCGATTACATGACTTGTTTCTCCTTCTGGGAGTGCAAAGTAATCAGCTACATCCAAATGCATGAAGTCTAAATTATCTTCAGAAATAAAATTTGCTTCAGTATTTTTCTCTGTCTTCTTTAGGGAGGCTTGATAAAGCTCAACCAGGTGCTTTGGCGTACGACAGGTACGAGACCAGTGCCCTTTTCCTCCACATCTGTAGCATGCATTTTCTGCATTTGGTGTTTGCACCGCTTCATGCATTTGTTCCTTCTTTTTCCACTGTCGGTGGTGAGGAGAGTTCTTTGGTGCATTATTATTACCATGATTAGAGTTTCTTCCCCGACCACGGCCATGACCACGACTGGGGCCATGACCTCTTCCATGTTTAGCTTGGTGAAAGTTCGTCTCATTCACTTCAGGGGATGGACAAGAACCAGTAGGTCGGCTTTCATGGTTTTTCATTAATAGCCCATTATGTTGCTCGACTACAAGAAGATGTGAGATAAGTTCATAATACTTTTTAAATCCTATCTCTCAATATTGCTGCTGTAGGAGCATATTCGAGGCATGAAAAGTGGTGAAAGTTTTCTCCAACATATCATGATTAGTAATATTATCACCACATAATTTCAATTGGGAAATAATTATGAACATAGCAGAATTATACTCACTGATAGATTTAAAATCTTATAGACTTAGATGAGTCCAATCATATCGTGCTTGTGGAAGAACGACCATCTTCAGGTGGTCATATCTATCTTTTAAATTATTGCACAGTATGACTGGATCTTTAATAGTAAGATATTCCATTTTCAGGCCCTCATCAAGGTGATGGCGTAGGAATAATCATTGCTTTGGCACGGTCTTGGTTTGATGCCTGATTTTATCTTTGATGGTGTCTGCCAGACCCATCGCATCAAGATGAATTTCAGCATCAAGCACCCAAGACATGTAGCTTTTGCTCGATATATCCAGGACTACAAATTCAAGTTTAGAAAGATTTGACATTATTTAGGAAAAGAAAATTCGTACCTCTAATACTTTTATAGTATTTGCTCGAGATGGCAGAGTCTCGTGCTGATAACGTGTTATGAAATAAAGACTGTAAAGTAAAGACAAGTATAGAGAGAAACTGATATATTATTCAAATTCAAAATTAATGTACATAATGAACTGAAATCTCTTCTATTTATAGAAGAAAGGAAGCTGCTGTGTAAGATGCCACTGCAAGCTGCTGTGTAAGCTGCTACTATACCAGATATGGATAATCTTCTACTGAGAGCAATGTTTATCCATAACGGAGTACTGAATGGATAAGCTCATTGTACCCAGTATAGATAATCTTCTACTAGAGGTAATGATTATCCATAATGGAGTACTGAAAGGATAAACTCATTGTACCCGGTATGGATAATCTTCTACCGGGGATAGTGTTTATCCATAACCGGGTACCGAAGTGATAAGCTTCTTCAGGAAACTTATTTCCAATAGAATATTAAATAGATAAACATATTTACGGCGGATTCCCGTATGGATAAGCTTCTTCAGGAAACTTATTTACAACGGAATACTAAATAAACATCCATAATATAATATATTTATAACACATTTCAATTTATATTACACTACTTCCTTATTTTTTTCCAAACGAATGACATATACATATATATATAATCGAATTTCAAATAGTTTATTTTACTCTTGATAAAAATATTTTATAGTTATTAGTCACATAAATATTATGATTTATTTAAGAATACTAATTGAAGTATTATAATCATATAAATTTTATGATATAAGTAAATTGGAATAGAGGGTGTACTTAGGAAAAGGGAAAAAAGAAAAGAAAAAGAGGAGGAAAGAGGGGAAGAGAGCGGCACACGTAGTTACACTTCAGACCTCAAAGACTCGAGACTAAAACGACTCGGGGGAAGAGAGGAAAACAGAAACGAGAAAATTAGATTTGAAAAAGGAAAAACAAAATCCAAAGTTGTTGGATATCTATTATATAGGGGGAATTGAGATAGAAGAAGGATGGGAATGGCTGATTCAGAACTGGATTCAATCTTTCCCGATACCAAGCGCCACCGTAACCCTCTTGTTCCTATTGGTACATTTTTCAAACCCTAATTTAACTTTTGCTCTAATTTTTTTTAGTATAGTTCAACTTTGTATTCATTTTGATGTTGTCTCTATATAAGTATCCATCCAATTATTGCTCAATTTTAAGCTTTTAGTTATGCTTTCCGTCTGGGTTTTTCCGTTGAAGAGTTTGACGGTTGTATGCCAATTGACCTGTACTTTTGTCTTATATATCTCCAAATATACAAAAATTATCAGATCACATACAATATTTAATATATGCTCGAATTTATTCCGTGAAACGGGTGCTAATATTCAATCTCGGTTCATAAAATGATTAAAATGAAACTTGCAACTTTTGTATTTGAACTTGAAGTTCTTGCATTCTGTTACTCCTTCCTTCTTTCCCTATTACATGATACTATATTCATTTGTACGAGAAAATGGTGCTGATTTTTGAACCATGTCTCAGATGATCCATATTAGTATTAAAGACAGTTTATAGATACCTTATTAAAACAAAAAGACAGTTTATGTCCCTCAAGTGCTATTACCTAATTAGTTGAAATATAGGAGGTTATCTCGTCAATGAGGAATGCCCGTATAAAAAAAGAGATATAGGATGTTCTCTTGCTTGTTGTGATTAAGATAGGAGGGGTCCTTCACATTCTTGGCTACTTTCTTACTTGCTACCTTTCTTGAGCAACATAGTAATGTTCCCGTCTGTGATGCGTTAGCCCTTTACAAAAACTTGGGCAGCCAAAACTCAACTTCACATGACACAGGTGGCTTGGCCTTACTGCAATGCAGTAATCCTGCTGGTAGCTCGGCTGTATCGCAATACTCTAAGCCTGCAATTGTACCGGCAACTCTTTTTACTAGTTTCTCCTTCTGTTTGCACCCGCCTTGCTAAATTCACTTCTAATTTCCTAATTTTAAGCCTTAGGCATGCTTCAAACGTTATTTAGGACTTGTGCAGGGTACAGAGTGTTAAAGATTGCTTACATCTGGGGCGTCAAATGATGGTAATTATCCGGTTAAGTGTCTAATGGTTCTTATAGACTCAGCTATATAACTTCACAGCTTGGTGTTTAGCTCAAATGTGAAAACTAACTTCTCCTTTTTAGAAACAGCAATGATGCAACTTTGCAAATTCATGACTGAGTCAACTGTATATCCAACCTTTGAGCAAGCAAAAAAGTAATTCTGCCTGTGTCATAGTTGAATGAAACAAAAGCCTAAAAAACATTGAACCTACAAAACCACCCTAATGCTCAAGTTCTTTAGTAGTAATCAGTTTGAGTTACATGTGGTGAGGAACAGGTTCTGATGCCTGCTTTATTTGTACTGAGCATGTAAGTCATGTAGGGAGAGAATGTTGCTCAGAATGTCTACCCTAGTTCCTTCATTCTGGTCTTATATGGAGGGCTAGATGTTTCTGCTTGTAAGGAGAGGTCATCTGGGTCTTCTATATGAATTCTTTAGAAGCGGCACATCTGCAGAATTATGTATTGTAGGAGTTTCAGCTGCATTATCTTCCTTTATGTGTCGTTGTAGTCCTTCGGATCCTCGTTGATCATCCATTGATTTCATGTTTTGCTAAATGGTGGTTGAACACTCTAGTCAATAGCAGAACTTACTTTGTCTAACTCATATTCTCATTGTGCAATTAACGATTTTGTGATTTTCAGGTGCCTTTGTCACTGCAGGAGTGCTCACAGCAGGGCTAATTAGTTTCAAGCGGGGAAATTCTCAATTAGGTCAGCAACTAATGAGAGCTAGAGTTCTTGCTCAAGGTGGTACAGTTGTGCTGATGGTTGGGTCAGCGTATTACTATGGAGATAGTTTTAAGCGTGATGGGTGACTACCAACCATGGCTGTGGACTTCTCTGATTCTCCTGTTTGGAGTTGCATTCAGCGGGGAAAAGGGATTCCATATTTGCTAGGAGGTAGTTCTTTTCATGGCTGGCATTGCCGCCCAACCACTCCCGCACCTCACTGGAAAAAAAGTAGAGGAAAATAAATAACAGAGTGAAAATAATGATGTGTTTATGGTTTTTTAAGGGGGGACTTGACTGTCGCGCTTTCTCTCTGATTTACGTAGTTTTAATTTTGATGTTAGTTGAAATTGAGTTAATTGTGGCTTCTTGAGGGTTAGTTTAAAGCTCCGAACTCGAAAAAACTCTTATTCTCGAGCTTTGCTGATGAGTGTTATAGTGTCCCACATTGGATATAAATAGGTTTGTAAGAAGGTTCACCTATTGCTTTAGGTTTTGAAATGGATGTTCAAAATTCTTTTCAATTATTTTTGGCTTTTTATTTTTTATTTTTATGAATTGATTAGTGAAGAGGTGCTTTACCATTGGGAGTTTATTATGATACACTTTCTTTCTGAGAACACAACCACCTATTGCTTTAAACTTCGAATTGGATGTGCGGATCTTTTTACAATTATTGTGGTTTTTTTTTTTAATGAATGGATTTGAGAAATGCATTACAGTTGGGAGCTTTATAATGATACATTTCCTTTTTGAACACAAGTCAAACAGGAAGAAAGAGAATTCTCTTTATTGCCAAATAACGTTAAATTACAACGTCAAAAGTGCAGATAAATCAGATTCATGTATCGCTGCCATTATTAAATTTAAGTGCTATTGTTTTGCAACGCTTTAAACTTATGAAGTCCTAATTGGGCTCTTGTTTTACATTGGTACTTGATCAATTCACCAAAATGAATATATTAAGCACTTTATTTCAAAATTGTACACTTGTGATCTTCGTTTTATTTCCACTTTCTTCCCCCCTTCCTTCTCACATTCCAATTCGAGCTGAGCTAAAATACAATCTAGCCGAGCCCGGTTCGTTGCCCAAGCCTAAGCAGAACAAGTACAAAAGAGCAGGAAAAAAATTGCAAAAACTTTGCTAATGTAGAAATGGGGGAAAATGGTAGTTTCAGGTGATATATTTAACATCAAACAGAAATGTCGAAAGCATTTCCATTGTTCAAAGAAAGTCAAGTCCAAAAAACTTATTTCCCAAAAGGAACATTAAACAAGCGAAAAATATTAAGGCCAACAAAATTTATTTTATTTGTCCAGATAAAATAACCCCATTATTTAAAGCAGTGGAAAAGAGGGAAATACGGGTATACTACTGACATGGGGTACCTTTGTTTTTTGGTTCAGTTACATAAATGGGGAGTGGAGTGAGTGAAGAAGAAGCCAAGGTAAATGCAAGGAATGGTAAAAAAAAAAAGATTAACGCAATACGCAAAACAAAGCCACGTAATTTGTGGTGAGTTGTTGGCACATAGCACGTGCCCCTTTTCAACTCTGTATGCAACTCCGCCTCAACGCCAACATGTCGACACTTTCCCCTTTTTCCCCTTCCCTTTTATTTTGTTGTCCTTTTTCTCTCTTATTATTTCTTTTGATTGATTGTTTTGTCCAATTCAGATCTTCTACTTTGCCCATATTTCTGGTTAGTCTAAGTTTATCTTGATATTTTATCTCATATGAACTTTAGTCTTGATGTTGTGTATTGTGTTTGCATGTTGTGGCAATTGAATGAATTGTAATTATTTAAGGGTATTTTTACTTTGATGGGTTGGGTTTCTTCTGCTTAAATCTGCCAAAGTTTTGATCTTTTCAATATTTGGTTCATCCAACCTATCTAATTGTTTGCATTGCCAAGACTAGATTAAACTTTTGGGTGCTGTGGTTCTTGGGATGGATTTATCTAATTTGAGGGAGTCAAGTTTGTCAGTATTTTGCAATGAGAACTTTTTAGAGTTATAGAAACTTTTGTGCGTCTGTCTTAATTTTACTTTTTGAACTGCATTATGGATGTGAAGATTTCGTTCTAATATTGTGTTAGATGTGGTTTGCCACTTAATGCCAAATGAAAATGTTGTTATTGAAATATATACTAATAATTAAGCAAGACTAAGGCGGTTGCTGTAACTTGATTGTGATTTCCTGGTAAATGATACCCTTTTGTAGCTATGCTACTATCAGGAACAGATGAAACTCCGAGGCTTATCATTAACTCCACACTTCCCCATTAGTAGGATTTCATGTAATTTATGCATCCGCAAAAGTGCCCCCCTTAACTAGATTGCTGATAAAGAGGCAATGACAAGTTGCAGCTCAAGCTGACAGTCTATATTATGTGACCCCGCACATATAGTTGCTTGATATGGTGATACTAATTTGTATCTAATTGTGCTGACATCATGATTGCTCAAAAGCTCTAAGTCAAATTCAAGTCCATCGTTTTGTAAGAAAAGCTACTTTTAAAGAACCCTTGTCTTTGGAATGTTTGAAATGCATCACCGTGTGTTTCAGTAGATGAATTAGTAATAAGTTAAATGAAGGTTGAGCAGCTCAATGGAGATGGTATTAAGTATTAAACTCACTGATGGGATGAGTTTGAAACTGAGTTTCCCCTTTCGATGCTGATGTTTCCTAGACATCTTCTGTCGGTTATTTTATTTAAACCATCCTTGAATATGTTTAATGGGGATGAGGTAGACCTAAAATCACATTGAAGGAAGTTGTCTAGAAAGACCTACAATCTCTTGAAATCCACGTGAACCTCGTGGAGAATATGATATAAGGAAGAAAAAGAATCTCTATAGGCAACATCTATTAGTTGGGACTAAGGTTTAGTGGTGTTAGTAATTTACTTTAACTTCAATGTCAGAGTCATATCTGCCAGTAGCAAATATAGAGATCTTCTAGTGCTAGAGAAACTAAATTCTTATAATGTTGGATTGAGATGTACTTAAGCGACATGGACAGCAAGATTCATGTAACTAATCCCAACTTGCTTGGGATTAAGGCGTGTAGTCGTTGTTGTAATAACCATTTTCTTCTTATGCTCGTGCAAAACAGCCATGTAATTTCTCATTTTATTTGTTTGGTTTCTTTATTTGCATCTTGTTTATTGAACAGACAAACTTATATGTTGAATTCTTGCCTTCATTACGCAGATTTGAGGATCAATAATTAGTTGAAAAATGTCTTCTCCAAGCAAAAGAAGAGATATGGATGTTATGAAATTGTAAGAACGTCCGAGATATGGTTTTCTTGCTGTCATTGATATATTTTTACTGATTCTAAACAGTTTGGCTTTTACTTCATCTTATCTGAATTCTGATCAATGTTTCTGAATACATATGAAAGTCAATATGGCAGGTTTTCATTTACCACCATGAGATTTCTTTCTCTCATTTTCATTTCACAGGATGATGAGTGATTACACAGTGGAGACAATAAATGACGGAATTACGGAGTTCAACGTGGAATTTCACGGCCCAAAAGAAAGTAATGTCACGAAGATACTAGTTTAGTTTTGTCTTTTATCAGTTTTGTTACTTTGTTGAAGGATCATTTTTCCCTTGATTGGATTTCTCCTTCTTAAAGTTAGTTTTTGAAGAGAGTGCAGCAATTCTAATTGGATTACATGGATTAGTTTCTATATACAGTGATACCTAAAATTTTGTCTCTTAATTATCTCAAAAGTGTCATAACTTTAACACTCATTGGCCGATATTTTTAGCATACGAATAGCCAATCAAGACATTTCTGCTCTCAGTTGCTAAAGTAGCTCGTCTATCAGAATATTGCACTTGTTGCTTTTCCGTAGAGCAGCATATTACATATTCAAATGGAATTGCTATTGGAGATGAGGCTATTTTCTTAGATAATGCAGACTGATAGAGTTAGTTGGTTTTGCGTATGAATTTTGTTACAGGCCTTTATGAAGGTGGAGTCTGGAAAATAAGGGTCGAGTTACCAGATGCTTATCCTTACAAGTCTCCTTCCATTGGGTTTCTCAACAAAATATTCCACCCCAATGTTGATGAGCTGTGAGCAACATATACATTCTTTCTGCATTTTAAGCAATTTGCTGTTACTTTGTTAGTCACATGTAAGATGTGTTAGATAGTCATATTTGTGTTGGCCGTCTTCCATCTTTTAGTCTCTTTGTTGAACCTTTGTACCACAATTCTACGTAGACGATAGTAATGCACCATTACTCACGAGATTCATCTGTTATTGCAGGTCTGGCTCTGTATGTTTGGATGTCATCAATCAGTCATGGAGCCCTATGTTTGGTAATTGCATACTGCTAAGTGAACAAAGCACTAAGACTTTTAGAGTGAAACGAAAGTTTAAACGCATGAAGTCTTCCTTTTAGTTTGTTTCACACAACTGCTTTTTCTTTGTCATCTAACTGAAGGTTTGTGCTCAAGTTTCTTTAAGCATGGCTGTACACATGAATTAATACAAGTCAATTTTTTGTATGCTGCGGCACTAATGTAGGCATTGACAACCTTAAAAAGGGTCTATAACAGAAGCTCAACTCTCATTTCACTGTTCAGATTATGTAGAAAACATCTTCTGTTGAAATGAAAATGACGAAAGGTGTCATCCTTGTGTCTGATTTAAGGCGTGAGTCGTATAAGTTAGCTTTGTTCTTACACTCCATTTATGTTCTTTTCAAGAAATTGTTTATGGAAATTCAGCCCTAGATGTTGACAACTTCATAAAATGTTCCTGAACTGTGAGCTTTTCCACATCTGACCAAGCATATGCCAATGTGCAGATCTCTTAAATGTATTTGAGGTGTTTCTGCCACAGCTTTTGCTATATCCAAATCCTTCGGATCCATTGAATGGTGATGCAGCATCTCTGATGATGAAAGACAAGAATCAGTATGAGCAAAAAGTGAAAGGTAATTTGACAACCATGGCCGACGTGTATGTTAGGCACATATTCTACGTTGTAAATATGCTTTTGTAATGAAATGGAACTTCTAGTCATGTATGAGAATGTAAACCAATGATCATTGATTGTTCACACATCATTTTATGATGCAGAGTATTGTGAGCGATATGCAAAGAAGGAGAACATTGTTGGCTCACCGAAAGATGAGAGTGATGAAGAGATTAGTGAAGAGGATTTCAGTGGACAGAGCGATAGTGATGACGAAGTTGTTGGACATGCTGATCCCTGAGTTGAATAGACTAGATCCTAAATGGAGATCATGTTTAGTTCATTTTTATCCTTGCATGTAATATTCGATTCATCCTCGCATGTAAATCAAGGTGCCATAGGTAGTTTAGGGACAATATATATAACATGCAGATATGTGATGATTTTAAATCTATTTGGAAACTTTCAGCCCCATGGTTAATGTAATCAATGTATGCATCAATTCAGATTCCAGTTTCAAACCAATTGCGCCATTTCATGGCTGCTGGGTATGAGCTATGATATATTAAACATTTTGTTATTCTAATGCAACTCTGTGCTGCAACATTTTCAAGGCTTTTTGCACTGAACCCATTTACTTTTACTAAACTTTTTACATGTATATCTATATTTCGTGTCGAAGATGATGAATTCAGTTGGAACTCATCAAATGTATGGTCCAGCTGCCTCTGGCCTCAAAATAATACTGGTTAATTTATCACTTAGCTTTCCCCTGCTTCTCCAGTTCATGACAGGTATAATCCTGTCAAAACTCTTCTAAATTATTTCTTGTTTTATTGTCAAATTCATCAGCTTTATGTATAAAGAACACCTCTTTTGGTTTTGTGTGCGCGTGTTCAATGGCAATGAAATGAGTGTTGTTTGATTGGTTTATTCAGTTTGTATAATTTAGCACTATCATATTGTTTTTAGGTGTGTACCAAGAAAAGCAGGAAGAAAAAACTTAAGAAAAGCAGAAACAGAGAAGGCCCGAAGTAAACGATAAAATGATACCTCTGTATAACAATATTGTTTGTTCAGATATTTTTTTGCTTTTATAGTGAATGATTGTTGTACACATAATAATTGTTATCATTTAAATATTTTTTGGTTGTTATAGAGAAAAATTATCCAAAAATTAACTTTTTCCACCTTTTAATGTTACACATAAAAAGATAATTTTAATTAAAATCTCAAACTATATGCATATCCACTAATTAAGTATTAAAAAAGCTACTATATGATTAATAAATTCATAACTAAATGTACAAAAATTTAAGCTCTTAACGCACACATTTTAAAGCTAAGCTACTAGAAAATTTAAAAGTCTAAAAAAGATATGTGCAGATCATTAAATCTTAGCATTATGCAAGATGGAAAATCTGGCCAATGAAAAAGATTGTATGTATAAATCTTTAAATATTAGACATTATGCACGAAAGATCCTTTTGTGCAATGAAATGAAAATATACAAGCATATATTTTAGGGAAATTTTCGTTCCTATACTATATAGGAACTATATTACCAAATATGTTCATAGTTTGTATATTACCCTTCATGTTAATAGTATTTCTACATAATATATACAATGCATTAAATAAGGAATTATTGTAGCTGTAGGATTCCTTATTTAGGCGCGCTAAAAAAAGAAAATTTAATATTTTCCAGATCTTCCACAACGCAAATCACGCACAGTAATAACTATCGTCGACTTCGTTACAAAATTTCCGTACTCTGTTTTAGAGATAGACTCTGTTTCAATTTTTTCTCTGATTTCACAAATCAAAATCGACAAAACCTTCTACAATTCTTCTGCAACAAAAGCAATTATGGCGAAAATACCAATTATGCTACAATCAAATGAGAATTGGGATAGCTTTGGTCGATTTAGAGAATTCGAGGTCAATGACATTGTAGTCGATGACGATGCAAGTTACAGTCTATTACTTTCTACAATAGCACATCAATTAATGATTGATACATCCGAAAAAATTATAGAAATCAAATACATTGTCAACGAGCATTGTCCTCCAATGAAAATTAGGAACGATATGGGTGTTTGTGTATACATGGAGACGAAAAAGGAAAACAAAAACTTAGGATCATATCCGCTATGTATAACTGTTCGCGATTTCAATATGGAATTGAGTATCACAAATGAGAACACAGCTGCAGGCGTGTGATGTAATTTTTTCTATGAAATTCTGACAATTTGTAAATGAACTACAAATTATCTACATTTTATCTACAAATAAACTATATATATATATATATATATATATATATATAAGTATGGATTTTTGCAATATCTACATTTATTCTACATTAAAACTACAAAAAAATTGAAAAATTAATATGAAATACTGAATTTCAACCTTTCTACAAATTATCTACACTGGTGATAACATTATTTATATTTATTTTCATGCAGGTTCGTCTGGAATACTAAAGTTACTTGATATGCCAACATCTCCTGTTATAAAGGAATATGAAAGTATAATAATAACAGATAGTACACCAAGTTCTATTGAAGTAGGACAAGTATACCAAGACAAGAAAATAATTTCAACTGCAATGAAGCACTATTCTGTCATGCACAAGTTCCAATTCAGGGCTAAAAGATCTAGTGCTAGAAGGTATGAACATATGAATAGTCAAAGATTATTATTTTTCTAATTTTGTAGTTTATTTGTAATTTTTTAGTTCTTCAGTTTTCCTTGTGGTAATGTTTAACAGAATTGTAGTTGAATTGTAGTTATGTTGTATTTATATTGTATAATGTGAATTTTTAAGCTACAACAAGTTTTTTTTAAATCTAAATTTTAACCCATTGTTTAAAATGTATTTATTTTGTAGCTACTGGCTGATATGAGTTGGTGAAAATTGTACATGACACTTCAAAGCAACTAGCATAAATGATTCTGCAATGTTCAAGGTCAGAAATTTTGACAACTAGCACACGTGCTCTTTAATGAACAATACATTCATACAATGCAAACCTACTGCCATGGTAGTTGGTAGCATGATTATTCCAAAATATTCTGATCCTAAGACAATTTACACCCCAAAAGGCATTCAATTTGACATGTTGTCTGAACACGGCGTGAATCTAACCTACATGCAAGCCTGGAGAGCAAAGGAAAAGGCTTTACAATTTTTGAGAGGTCATCCTGCTGACTCCTACAACAAATTGCCTAATTATTTGTATATTCTAGAGAAGACTTATCCGGGGTCTGTAGTTAAATTGAAGAAGACAGACGATGACTGCTTCTTGTATGTATTTGTTGCGATTTGTACGTCAATCAGTGGTTGGGAATATTGTAGGCCAGTTGTAGTAATTGATGAGACCTTTTTAAAGTCAGCATATAAGGGAATAATGCTAACAACCAGTACAATGGATGCAGCAGGTACTGAAGTTTTATTTAGAGAAATATTGTAACTTGTATGTTTTTTATAGTACTTGCAGATTACTTGTAGATATATTGTAGAATAACTGCAGTTTGTATATATATGTCTTCTTCTGCATTTTTACTGCAGCCAATTAATTGCTTCTTGCCACATAATGTAGGTACCATATTACCATTGGCATATGCTGTTGTTGATTTAGAGAATGACACATCATGGAAGTGGTTTTTTGAGCAATTCAAGCTCGCGTATGGTGAAAGACCAAATATGTGTGTTGTTTCGGATCGGAATGAGAGTATCTTGAAGGTAACATCTATTGTTTATCCCGGCATGCCACATTATTCTTGCATGTGGCATATTTGGACAAATATACGAGCAAAATTCAAGAAGAGACATCTTAAGCTAAGTGAATTATACTTTGCCATGGCGCGGTCATACACACTTGATGAATTTAATGAAAGGATGTCAAAAACTGATGAGATTGACCCCCGTGTTAAAGTATACTTATACGATATTGGATATTATAGATGGTCTCGAGTACATGCTACGGTGAATAAAACTTGGACTATGACATCAAACACTGCAGAGTTGTTGAATGTTGTAACAAAATATGCAAGAGAGTTGTTGATAGTAGAACTATTAGAGTGTATGAGGACCCTTCTTGAACGTTGGACGAAAGAAAAATTATTGAAAGCAAAGGGTACATTCACGTACCTTGGATACAAATTCAACAAAGAGTTAGATGACAACAGAACATTGTCGCACAAGCTTAGAGTAAGATATGATTATTTATTGAATCAAATTCATAAACAACATAGTGTAGATTTTTGTAGATATTTTGAAGATATTTTGTAAATAGCTTGATTTTAACCATATATGAATTGTTTTTTTTGTTTGTAATGTACTCGTAGGTGAGGGCTTCAACAGACTACATCTATACAGTAATAGATGGTGTGAGGCGCTATATTGTTTGTCTTGAAAACAAGAAATGTAGTTGTGGGCAATTCCAGTTTGATGAACTACCTTGTCCACATGCTTTGGCTGCTTTAAGACAAAGGGATGAGTCTTTTGAAGAATATTGTTCTTCTTATTACACAAGGGCGAACCTCTTGCATACGTATGAAATACCAGTAAATCCGCTGCCTGATGAGAGCAAATGGAATGTGTCACAACATATAACTGAAAAAGTAGTAAATTCACCTAAAGGAGGGAAAAGGCAGCCAGGAAGACCTCAAAAAGAAAGATACAAAATATATGATGAAATAAATTCAAAAAAGTACAAGGTTTCATGCGGCAACTGCGGAGGAGAAGGGCTTAACAAAAGATCTTGCAAGAATGCGCCCAAAATGAAATAAAATTTTATGTAGTTAACAGAATATTTCATAAAATTTGTTAGTTAGTTTTGGATAACAAATTTTGATGTGTAATCGTTGGTTTTTTTAAGATCATAATGTAGTTAGTTAGGATGTTTCTATACTGAGATAATATTTTCATAGATTGATTTGTTTATGAATATTTTTTATATATATAATCTATAATTTTTTTACTATATATGGAATCCTTTACATAGTTGTTAATGTATTTTTACAGTTTATCTACAATAAAACTACAAAAAAATACATTATCTGAAATTTATAGAGTATATACATTATAAATCTGTAGGAAAGTAGTTAAAAACTTAAAATATTGTAGATGAAGTATTGTTTACATTAAAAAAATGAATATAAAAGAAACAAAACACATTGTTAAAATATTCTACAAATTATCTACAAATATAACTACAAAAAAACTACAATATCTGTAGCTGACAAAATATATTGATTAAAATTCAGGTAGAAAAAATCTTTATGGTGAAAATAATGTAGATTAGAATAATTGTATAAAATTTCAGTTGCAAAGGATTTAAATGCTAAAAATAATGAAGATCAAGTACTGTACATATTCAACAAGTGAATATAAACCCAACAAACAGTTACCATTGTACTACTATACTGGATAAGAAAAAAAAAACAAAGGCTACTAAAATTGTAGCACATGTCTGCTACAATTAAAACATAATAAATTGTTCAAAAACTTGTCT